CTCTAGTAATATATTTACTGAGAAAAATGGTGACGAGTTCAATACTTATTTTACCCGCTGTATATAAATTTGTGTGTTTGTGAATGATCAGTAAATATCGGGTATCAGCCATAGCACCAATAACAATGTCGGATCTCAATATCGGCTGAAATTTTCATATCGGTGCATCCCTAATTTCATTTAACAACGCATGCCTGCTTTGTATTTTGATGTGTTTATCTGCAGTCTTTGTCATTGTTGGGCAATAAATGACCGTACAGTAATATTAGCAGTGATTCAGAGTGCACTAATGCAACAGTGGGTGCATATCTGTGGTCCGTTGCATGTGCATTCCAGTTTTGTTTTGGCAAGGGAAAGGTTAATGTTTAACAGCGTGGTCGGTTCAGCCACTAATGTGTGAACAAAGCACAATGACTGCACTATATAGGCTTGTATTTATTCAGAGTCACTTCCTCCCTTAATAGTCAGCTCTACTTTCCTCACACATGGGGGGAAAAAAGTAGGTCAAGGAAAAGTCATGTTTGAGATAATTCACTCGAGGGGATTGCGCCTCTGATCATTAGATGACACTGGTTAACCCTAGGAGTGAGGTCATAGTCAAGTTACGCCCAGAATCCGGACTGAGTGCTTGCATGTCTGAGCATTTTACAGTGCRCCGAGGATAAATCAAAGGGTTGAAGAGGGTTGGAGGGGCTATCAGGGTGAAGGTGGAGAAGAAGAAAGAAGCATGAAAGGCTAAAGAAATGTTCACATAAAATAAAAAAAAGGTTTTCCTTTTGATCAGTGTTAGTGTTTTGCGGATGTGAAGGAGGTCARTCTTGAGGACTTTCTGCTCTGATGCAGCTGAACAAAAGATCCACAGTAAAGAATCTCTTGAGTGGGACATTCTCCAGCTTCGCTCACAGTGGGCTGAAGCAAAGATGAGTGAGAACWTTTCACTCACAGAGCTTCTGCTGTTGCTTAAAATGACCGTGTCAGGATTATTATTATGATTTTTATTTATGAATCTAAACATTTTGATCCAAATCGAATGCTTTTGTTATTTTTTTCTGTTTTTACCTTTCATATTGTCACATAATAAAAGTATTAAGCAATTTACATTTATAATGATCTATAGATCAT